AGGTCGATGCTCTTGGCCACTGTCACGCCGTCCTTGGTGACCTTCGGGCTGCCCCAGCTCTGCTCGATGATGACAGTGCGACCCTGAGTAGAGACAGGAAGTGGTGAGAGCGAATTCAAATTTACAGTACTAACATGAGTAATAATCCAGTCAGATGATTTAATATTAAATGTTACGTTACCTTTGGGCCCATGGTGACGGCCACAGCGTCAGCCAGCAGGTCGACGCCCTGCAGCATGAGGGCGCGAGCATCAGCTCCAAACTTCACATCCTTGGCGTAGGCTCGTGTGAGGTGAGGAGCCAGCGCCCTGCACACGGGCCTCACCTGCTTCATGACTGTCGGTAAACGAAACATCTCTGTGGAGCGAGAAGATACAGAGGGAAATTAACACAACGTGTCTGAGATCATTAATGATCATAATCACCATTATTTTGGTCAATATAGAGAGCACTATTAATTTATACGATTACTCACTGGTTTTGATGCATTTACTGAACTTTTAAAACCATTTGCCCTTCAATAGTAGATATTTATTTATCATTAAATAAAATAATAAATAATAATAAATAAATAAAATAATTGGGTTCATATATGATTAACCGAAATCAAACAAAAAAATAAACATTAAAAAAAATCTATAAAAATAAGAAATCAAAAAATAAAAATAATTAGATATATTTATATAAACTGAAAAAAATAATTTAACTAAAGAACAAACAAAAATTATATTAAAAAATAGATAAACAAAATAAATAAATAATTGGATTTATATATATTTTTATATAAATATAAAAATGAATTAACTAAAAAGATAAATAAAATAATTAAAACAAATAATTGCATTCTTGAACTTTTCAGAACACTTGCCCTTTAACAGCAGATTTTCTTACACAAATGAATGCATCAATATTATTTTGATAATAATATTCTTGTACTTAAGTAAATTTCTAACTGCAGGACTTTTACCTGTAACAGAGTATTTCTGCTCTGTGGTTCTGTTACTTTGACCTTAAAGACCTGAGTGCTTAAATAATTATTCTCCAGACCCAACACCTCCACCCCTCCACCCCTCCTCCATCTCCTCAGACTGTCACATCAGGACAGATTAAGTGTGTTAAAGGTGAGCGGAGCCTCCAGTGGTCACACGTGGTATAACAAGCCACCAGTGAATGAATGAACCTCCATTCGTGTCAGTTAAATGTCCCAAATATAATAAATTACAACTCAAAACTCTTACATTTGAGAACCTGACAGAAAGACAATCAGTATCTGATCAGCATTTACAAAGGGTTAAATGCAGATTGTTGTGTTGATTAGACGTTCATTTGGCCGTTGCCCAAAACCCCCTCAGGACAAACAGTCAGCACTGGCTTTAAACTGTGATAGAGAAAGAACTCAGATGCAAAATAATGTTATTACCACATTGTGAAAGAACTCCAACACAAGTCAAACTCATCCACTCAAAACCTGACTTAACTACAAGTGTGTGTGTGTCAGGAAAATGTACCTTTGAGTGTCAAAGTAAAAGGACTCATCATGCAGTTAATGTTTCGTGCTGTCAGTGTTCTTCTATTTTATCTTGATGTTTTTGGATTCATATTCTGTAGATGTTTAAGGTCGTGTCATTTTAACTCCAAACATTTGTGACAAAGAGGCGTAATGGAGGCAGGATGTCTGACAGTTCAACAATGGACTTTACTGTTAAAAATGGTGGATGCATGATATGTCAATATGCAACAACTTATTTGGACAATAACCGATAGATATATCCACTTGTTTCCCACCTAATGTTAATGATCATCATCAAGTTTCTTCTGTAGTGAATTAACATATTATACATGCATACTCTGATGGTGACGGCCCGCCAGCAGATGGAGACATGAAACACTGTTCAGTGTCTGTGATATTCAGTCATTGTGCGAAATAAGAAAAAACATGTTGGTTCTGATAATTCAGTTTAAACCTGATATTGATGACGAGCTGATATTATCGTGTAACCCTACAGTCAAGTATGGTTTTATATGAGGGGTGAGGTTAGCCATTCACCACATTTTCTTTTCATAAAAAAGGAAGTTTGATAGAAAAATAACTCTAAAGAGGTTTTTTTAAATCATTAAGTTGGACTGTGTATTGGCAGGAATTTCAAAGCTGATACTGATGATGTTTAGTTTCATTTATTTAAAAAAAGGCACAGTGCAAATTAATAAATACACACTGGATGAAAATGCCAGAAAGAGCCAAAAGGCTATTTTTCAAATGACATCAGTGCACATGAACAGTGAGCATCAATGGTGATTTAATAATTATAAATTCTCCCAAGCATATTTTTCTACATTTCATTTTGTTAAGGAAAAAAAAAGTTTGCATCAGTACCTATCAGACAACATGTACGCTGATACAGATATTTGTGAGGCTAATATTGGCCTACAAATATATCAGCTGGGCTCTGGAAGACAACTATAACATATGCCTCTTAGAGTATATAATGGAGTAAAAATATAAAGTGTAATAAAGTGTAATAATGCCCCTTAAACCTGTCAAACACTGCTGGAGAAATGCACGTGTGCAAAAATTATTTGTAGTTATAGAAAAGTTTTAAACAACCTGTCACCTTGATTTTAATTTCTATTACATGAATTTTCGTAGACTAAAACTAGACTAAAATTAAAAAGGAGTAAAATGTGCCTAAATTAATAAGACTCAAGATTAAATCTGAAACAGCTGACAACATTAAATACTCAAATAAAATACAGTAACTTTTAATTAGTCCAGTACTTGAGTAAATGTACCTTCAGCTGTCTTCACTGTGCTCACAGATCATTTAAATATTCTTAATTCATCAGTGATAATATAATAATAAAGAATTAGTGCAGTGTGTATTTTGGCCTTGATCGTGACTCTATTATGAAATGAACTCCCCCAAAAACCGTTTCCTGGTTCCCCCCCACGTGCGCTGTCTCCAGGTCGTGCGTCACAAGGTCAAATTGTAAAAAGCATGTGCGGAACTGCTTCACCATCTCTGCTCACCATCTGTGCTCAGCCTTCACACACTGACCATCACTGTGTGTGAACAACAGTAACTGCTTCACATGTTAATAATGACATTAAATCATGTTTAATCAGGCACGTGCAGCTGAGTGAGCAGGCTGTGTGCAGCGCTATGGAGGACTGATGAGGACAGGTTTCATCATGTCTGACACGAGACACTCCTCATTTAATTTAAATAAACACACAGCTAATATTCAACATGTCTCTGACACACATACAGCTAACCAAACTGTGCAGTGACATGTTAACACGTATGTGCTTCCTGTTTGGATATAATTCTGTTAGCTGCTACTAATTAAAGCTCGTGCTCCCTCTGAGCTAGCCCCAAATCTACAACGAAAAGACAGCGTTCATTAAAACTACCCAGCTCGTGCTGTTAGTCGCGTGAGCTTTAACATACTTAACAAAAACGTCCGCACTCACCTGTGAGGTAAAAAGCGTGTCGGTGCTACGAGGAGCGCGTCTTCACCGCGGAATGATGCAGCGAGAGGAGGTAAAAGGACGAGCCGTGCGGCGCAGATGAGCTCCACAGAGGGGACTGCACATGGCCTTCTACATCCGGGTCATATACCGGCGGGCCCCGGACCATGAATAACAGCAGCACCGCTTTAGATAACTGACTCTAATGTGCAAATACATTCAACTGTGTTATAATACTCTGACCTGCATTTAAAACCTCACTCAAGTGAAGGCACACACATTATTAGAATTGAAATATACTTAAAAAAGTAACAGTACTTATTATGCAGAGTCGTATCTTTTTTTAAGGCTTCGTACAGTTATTAATATTTTTTATTTATTTATACATCATGCTTTTTTACTATCTGACATGCCATTTTATTTTGTTTTTATTTTTAAATTTTAATAAATAATAATAACATAAATAATGAATTAAAAAAATATAAATAAAAATAAAAACAATATATACAATCATTATTTCATGTATTGTTTTTATTTTTTAT